GTTACCAGCCATCAGCTCTTCAAATAATTCCAACTTAACAAAGAGAGGAGATGGACAGATCGGAAAGTATCGTGGCAAGCTCAGGACAACACACTTCCGGCCCTATGTAAAAACAGTGGAAAGTGCGTGCCATGGTATATTTTCGGAAGCATCTCAAGAACCAGCTAATGTGGACTGGGAGTCCATTTGCATCGTCCGATCAGCTGCTACAAGTGCCGTGAGCCAATGGCAAACACGTTTGACAGAGACTACTACCTCTACTGAATGCAACTTTGGCATGGCAGAGATCTACTAGCACGTTATCTTATCTATCAATAGAGTTGTATCCTCGTATGCCTATGTGAAGTGTGAGGTCGTACTGTACTGCAGACGCGTCCTCGACCCTGGTTGGAAATGTACGCAACAGTTCCCACCCTCTTGACCAGAGAGCGCACACACCCTAGGGTTTTGATGGGTTTGTACGACTCCCAGCTCTTGACTTTTGTTGGGTGTACGAGACGCACGCACAGTTTTCGTAGGGTGAGTACTTTTTCATGTAGTACTGAATGCGGCAAGCAGGACTCGCCCATCCGCCCCTCCCCAAATGGATCTACTCGAATGGTTGCGGAGGTAGGGGTGCTCTGGCGGGATTTTACGACATGCACAAGCGCGCACACAATATACACACGCACGCACACATATACACATGGACGCACGCTATGTCGCACGTCTAGGGCATGGCTTCGTGAATACAAGTAATAATTTAATGTTATAATTTATAGTATCCAAATGCTAGAGCAGCTTTACAAAACCTACCGTTCAATACTGGATCAATTCATCTTGTGACAGCTTCCTTTGCAACACCCATGACTTGACCCCACTTCGTCTTGACGTCAGGAAATCGTTCACACCGGAGTTGGGACACGACTCATTGAAATCCAGGCTTATCTGCTGCTGGGAGCAGGACAGAGCTGATGGACGTCAGCAGCGGCTGTAGAACAACCATAAACGAGTCTTCTTTCTCCGCAGTCAGGCGGGACAGCAGCTTTGCAACGCAAGCTTCTTGCCTTCTGTGGGTCTTTAGCGGCTGGGATTCGGAACGCTCTGTAGAAACCATTGAACAAGTCCTGCACTCTATCAACCCACAAGTATTTCTTCCAATTCATGAATATTCGCAACTTTTTCTGCAGTACGTGCACCAGATCAGAAGCCGCTAAGTAGCAAGGTTGAAAGTTTCAAGACAAATTGAAAAATATAATAACAGAAAATTAGAATTCAAACCATACCTGTGGCCCAAGCCAACACAGACTGAGCGTTCACGCGAAGAGAACGTAGATCTACGTCAGCTGAGGTTTCCTTAGGATCAGGAGGTGATTCTTGACCCGGATCTGGATCGCGATCAGCAGCACTCTCTGCCTCCATCACGATCATCAAATGCAACTAAGTAGTTCATTCTTCTTCTTCTTTTCGAGCTACGATTTCCCACGATCCCATCGATCCTGCACGAGTCCGTTCCCCAAGGAGTGCACTCCCATAAGTACGCGGAGTAGTTGGTTTATAACTCAGGGCACGCACCGGGGATATCTGAGGGAAAAGTGGGAGAAAGTGCCGCGAGTCAATCATAGTCGGCCCGGAAGGCCTCGTGTCGCCTCCCGGGTCTATACGACTCCCTGATCCCAACCGTGAGCCCTGAATATGGTAGTTGTAATACAATACATGATGTCACTATGACTCATGGACCAGCACTGATCGAGTTTGTTCCATACTTGTATGTGTTTAGTTGGGTTGTGTGTCCATCAATAATATTTTATTACGGACTGGGGGGGGGGGGGGGGGGTGGGTGAGGAAAAATTTGAAGCTACTACGGATTGGAAAAAAACTTTCGATCGGCGGACGACCCCGTAGGCCTTACCTTAGTCTTGCCGTTTTGGCTTGCTACCGGTATACCGGTGACTGACTGACTACCGCGTACCGGTACATCACCAAACAGTCAGTACCAGGGCACCATCAGGTCCATGGTCACCATTGCAGACACCATGGTCTCACGCGCCCGCTCCTGAGTCCTGTGCCATCTTGCGCAACTGTCTGCAGTCTTTTTTGTTGCTTTTGTCAAGTTTTGACCAGTTCTTCTTTCTCGCCATGTTGATTGTCGTGTTGACTTGTTGCACATTGTTCAGCAAGTGACGCTTTGTGGCGGCTTCATTCGAGTTTCCGCGAGGGCAGGGAGTACTCCCATGATTTCTCAGTGCTGGTAGCGTAGCGAAAAGGTATAGAGGCGCTCCGTGTGTGCTTTCCTGCCGCGACTGGCACGAGGTTGGATTCTGCTAATGCATTGTGATGTTTACTAGTGGATAACTGTATTCAAAATGCCGGCCATAAAAAACACCAACCATGCGTGCATCCCCCCACCCACACACACAATAATACCCACACGCACACATAATAATACCAGTGCTGCCAAACCGTCCGATTTTTCGGACAGTGTCCGATTTTTGAAGGCTCTTCCGAAAACCGGTCCGAAAAAGGAAACGAAAAGGCGACGAGGAGACAACAACTTTATTAATGCGATTAATAGTATAAGTGAAGCGGACATTACAAAATGATGAATGAGAATACATGTATCTAAAATGGTTGTTCCTAATCGATTTTCTTGAGACTATCATCAGGGAAAATCGTCTCACAATAGAGGCTATACGGAGAAACGAACTACTTATAGGTTATCGGATAGTGGGAAGTATACAAGGTGAGGTGTGAAAAAAAAACTAAAGTGGGAGAGAAGACGAAAGAAATTAGAAGTTCATTCGCATACACCTACACCTCACAGTTCCTCACTCTATCACATTCACCTGCTTCCACGCCTTCATTTCACTCACCTTTTGTAGTAGCTCACACCGTCAGAACACTCTCACATCTTTTCTTCTAATTTCTTTCGTCTTCTCTCCCACTTTAGTTTTTTTTTTCACACCTCACCTTGTATACTTCCCACTATCCGATAACCTATAAGTAGTTCGTTTCTCCGTATAGCCTCTATTGTGAGACGATTTTCCCTGATGATAGTCTCAAGAAAATCGATTAGGAACAACCATTTTAGATACATGTATTCTCATTCATCATTTTGTAATGTCCGCTTCACTTATATTATTAATCGCATTGAAAAAGGAAACGTCCGAAAAGTAGCCAAAAATGTCAGGGATCAGTACTTTCCTCTTCAGAAGTCCTATATTTTCACTTTTCAGCGCAACTGAAGGCACAAATCCCTGTCATATGTATCTAATATTGACTGAGTACGAGGTCAATATAGGAAATAAAAGCCGAGTAAAAGACCGAGGCGAAGCCGAGGTCTTTTACAAGGTTTTTATTTCCTATACTGACCAAGTCCGAAGTCAATATTAGATTTATCACGACAAACAGTCCGTATTTCAAATTCCAGAACGATAACCTCATGAATCCCGGTTTTATGATTGCACAACCGTTGCACCATCACCTACTCATGCAGTGACAATGCTGCACTAGGCACCGTTCAACTGCGCAACCCCTAAGCAGTCAAATATCATGAATATAAGCAGTCAATATAGCCCTAAGGAGTGAAATATGCAGGAATATTTGACTGCTTAGGTATGGCAAACATCTATGCGAGTCAATACCATGAATACTAAGGGAGTGATAAATAATATTATTATATGCTTCTAAAAGGCTAGCGCTTGGCGGTGGAAGTGCAAAGTACGAGGACATGTACATGTACATGTACACTGTACAGACAGTGTGTGACCACACTCATGCATTACCAGGATTACAAAATTCAGGCATGGTACTCAATTACTTTGGTGTGCAAGATCGGTTACCATGACAACGGAGCGAATTTTCATGGTATTTTGGGCGGTATTTTGAATTCTCCGGAAAAAATTGCTGAGGAGAAAAATTCGCACCATGTGGCCAGCCTTGAAGGGTGTCCGATTTGGGGCAAAAATTATTTGGCAGCACTGTAATACCCACACGCACACATAATCATTGTGTACATGCATGGTAAATGTACGATGTGGACATGTGCATGCAGAAGAAGCATCAAGCACACGCAAGAGTGGCGGCAGGCACCAGCAAAGAGACATGATGTAGCCTTGTATTTGTACTTGTAGGGAAAGCAGTCGGGCAGGTTCGTAAAACTGTCCCTCCAGGAAATCGGGATTCCACGGATGCAACAAATTCCGCGATTTTGGCCCAAACCCACGATTTTCAGCAAAATCCGCGATTTCCCGCGTTTTTTGTTGATTTCTGCACTATATCTCACATTTCTTATGCACTTTTCACGCAGTGCTTTCCATGCTGAATACTAATATTTGCACAGTAGGTCTACGACTCGTACTACTCCCTAGCCCTATAGGTCTAGTACTAGTAGATATACAATGCAACAAATTTCGTGATTTGGCCCAAATCCGCAATTTTCTGCAAATAATTCCGCGCCTGGCAAGTTCTGCATCATTCCGCACTTTTCGTCGCATTTTTTATTGTTTTCTGCCGCAATTTCTTGCGCAAGTTTTCGAGCGTTTTTTTCCGAAACTTCCTGCAGGGACAGGTAAAAGAGCCCGCACTTCATAAAGGAGATAACAGCCACAACAACAAAGGCCACGACACACTCTACAGCTATCCAACACACACCCTGCCGCATACTAGTAGTAAGTAGTAGTAGTAGTAGTAGTAGTAGTAGTAGTAGTAGTAGTAGTAGTAGTCATCCATGCAATTCACACATAATCATTATTATACAAGTACACGCCAACAGACCACTGTCTACGATGCCTTACAGCCGCATACAACGCAGCATAGTGCACCGTCATGCAATTCATATACATACCATTTTACACTCCAACAGACCACTGTCTACGATGTCACACAGCCGCACACCACTCAGCATAGTCCACCGTCATGCAATTCACATACTGCATACACTCCAGCAGACCACTCTCCACAATGTCACACAGATCGCTTTGGAACCGATCCCAAGCAATCTGTGTGATGTTGTGGACATCTTTAAAAAAATCACTTTACAGCACGGATTTACAACTTTCGTGAGAAACTGGAAAGCACTGGAAATGGCAAACGTGCATAATGTGTCTCTACAAAAGTGATAAAATTATTTTTAATATCTAAAATTAATGAGAGCACAGTTTATAGCCTTCTACTATCATGATTATACGTCTATTGGATCGCTGGTTGCGATTCATCTCTATGATTGTAACATGGGTTGTTTGTTATGCACATATAATCAGCTCCTGTACCATACAAGTGGTGTATGAAATACATGGTGAAACTAAGACGTGTGTTAACCTAATGAAGTAGATATCAAGTCATCAGAATCTGAGAGAAGCACAAAATAGTCATGTGACCGTGTGATCAACATTATCAGTAACATTGAACTAACCGGAGGATATTGACTCAAAAAAGCGCGGGGAGAAACTCTATTCACATTGATCAGCAATCATTTATCAGTGAAAACATATTTTACCATGAACGGCAGTCAGCTCCATGATGCTGCATTTCCAGTATTCTGACAGTCTATGATTGAGCAAGATTCAGCAACCAATACTATGAACAGGTCCATTTAACTAGACAGTGATCGTGGGTGCATGTTCGTTTTCATGAACATAACCAAGAGGCAGCAGCAGTAGTTGTACAGCGGAATGATAACTCACCGCAGAGCATGATGGCTTCAGTAAGAAAGCTGTCAATCCTGGACAGTGGGAGAAATGTCCTCGGCTGCCACTACAAGACACTAGTGCTTAGCAGCAGCAAGGCTGAAAGGTTCAAGTGTTCACGTCACACCATAGACTGAAACTGTGAAGACTGCGAAAGTGCAGCAGCCGGTGTTGGGCCTCTCCGAGATCCAGTGACTACCCTCTTTAGCATGGGAACGTCAGGATGGCTACCACCAGCCTGTGCAGCAGAATGTTGTGGAGGCGGTGGCGGTGGTGGTGGTCGACTTGGCGCTGGTGCTGCAGCTGCTGCACCTGGCTTTTGATGAGTATTTATCACTGTAGAGTGTTGCTGTTGAAAGTTGTGCTGGTGGTGGGGGTGGTGAAGGTGCTGCTGCTGCTGCTGTAGTGGAACCTGATGTTTTTTCATCATTTGCGATGGTGTGGAGCGGTGAGAGCTGGAATTGGAATGATGCTGTGATGTGGCACCACTTGATACAGAGTTCAAGAGATGAGTCGCGTGATTTCCATGGTTTGAGGACTGGAGGGGATGATGTGTCGGAGGCTGATGTTGCTGCTGATGTTGCTGCTGATGCTGCTGCTGATGTTGCTGCTGCGGCTGCTGGTGATGCTGCTGTTGATGCTGATGTGCTGGTTGTGGTGGTCGCTGTGCATGCTGGTACTGATGGTGTTGATGGTGCAGTGGGAGGTGCATCTGTTGTTGTTGATCATTGATACCATGGGGAGGGATCTGATGGCTTGTGATTGGACCGACGGCTATATCCGCAGAACTCATTGTGTGATACCCGTTGTCACTTGCTGAGCCATTTGATGATGTCGTTGGGTCGCTGCCAAGCAGCTGCCGGGAAAATTTCTGCTGCTGCTGCTGCTTACTGGGGTATGCACTGTGGGATGAATTCCCTGCAGCAATGTTGCCAGTGTCTACACAATAACACAGACATGACAATTTCACACACACACACAAGCACACACACACACACACACAAGCGCGCATACACACACACACACACAAACACATACATACACATACACGCGCGCGCGCGCGCGCGCGCACACACACACACACACACACACACACACACGTGAGTCCAACATTTTTGTACTGAAAAGCTTTTATTTAAAGGGGCACTCCGGCTTCATTTTCGACGCCGAGTTTTCGATGCCAAGACGAAGGTAGGTGAAAGAGAAGACCCCTCGAACAAGAACGAGTCTCCAGAAGCGATCGAGTCGAGCAGGAAGACGACTTTTTGAATTTCGCCGAGCGAGCGCTGATGACGTAATGAGGGATTAGCTTGCCAGTGGAAATGCATCTGCGCACATACATTTCACATACTTTTTGGCCAATTTTCAATCGAAGAGGAGGTTGTTTTCTATGTTCTCTCAACGTCGTGAGCGATCCCGTCTTCTATACCCTTCCAGGTACCCTGAAGGTCCTCCAGAGGAGAATTTATCTCCAGCGAAGCGTTGTTGATCCGCTAAATTCGTCTCGAAACATATTCACCCAGTGCAGTGCTGATAAATGTAGAATGTTGAATCTGTGATAATTGTCGACGATGGAGAGAGAGGTTGATAGCCGCTGTCGCAGGGAAAGTGAAGCTGCTGGAAGTCACGACGGGGAGCTTGTTAGCATCACATGTGCATCCAGACTTCAAAGCACCTTGACGGAATCGGGGAGTACTGACTATTTGTCTCGCCCTCAAGTTTAGTGAATTTTATGACCAGAAAATTATTCGATCAGGATCCCTTCTACAAGATGTGTAGTACAGGTGATTTCTGAACTTGACAATATGGAGACCGACCAGTAGACCTACCAACAACGTGTACCTGCAGGAAATTCACCCAAGGCTATTGCTATCCTCTTCAGTGGCTGTTGCTTTTTAGTAAAAATATGTTCACTTCTCTCAACATACTCCTGCATGGCAACAAGAAGGTGCGCTATGGAATTCGATGCCACAATTTTCGCCCAGCTGTGGATGAAGCATGGTCAAGTCATGGCAGTACATATACTTGAAACAGATGGGAAATTGAAGTTCATTTGTGATGGGAAGTTTGACTGCCCCAGTGACCGAGTCAAGCATTGTCTTTTGCCGTGGCACAAATTGCTGGAGAATCCGAGATGGTCTTGGAACTATGCACATGGATACTACCAGAAATAATGGTGGCATGAACCATTGTGGAATGGGACAGCTCACGGAGAATACTGGAATAGCTCCAGTATCTCTAAGTGATTGTAAATCCTGTTCTGGCTGATAGCTTCGGCCTGCTGCGCCCGTCCATGTACAATGATGGGAACATGCATTTCTGTTTTCTACATATTTGCCGGCTACTGTACTGTGGTATTACAGTTGCAGGTCCCTTATATAAAAATATGTTCAACCCCCTCCCACATACCCACATTATAAATACGAACTAACAATTTCACTGTTGGATTTGCAGGCGGCTAGAGAGCAAAGAAACTTTGGAGCACTGTGGATACAACATTTATGGAAGGAAAAGTGGAATCATTTCTAACACATTGTTCAAATAATTATAGCACTGAATTGTTGAGATTGTGAGCACATTCCAATCAGCACTCTACATATTTTATAAGCGGTGGCAATCGTTAGGAATAGGTCGTGAGTTGTCAGAGTGCTCCAGTATATGAGAGAATGTTTTGTTTGTCTAATCGACGGCTCGTTTGAAGCCAGAGTTGTTCGAACTTGTTTCAGTCGACTTGATTCTAGATAGTAGTCGAAGGAGTACTATGAAGTACACACCACAAGTAGTCCGTAAGGTATCTCGTGAGAATTCCGTCTGTACACATCAGGTATCAGCTTGGAAAGATGGCTCCTCTCTGTTTCTTGAAAGCCTGTATAATTGGACTGTGGCTCCAGCGATTCCCTTCTCAGAGCAGATACCATACCCAATACCGTCAATGCATATTGGACAGACCTGTATGCACAACAGAAATAGTGGAGGGAAATCTCTAAGCTCATGAACACGTCAGTGAAGTTTGAACTGCCGTTGTTTGTGGCCATCAGTATAAACCTATCGACTATAAGAATAATGTGCAAACAAACTTCTATAACCACAGCTGGGGCCATGGAATTATAAACTTAGGGAACTGCCAATTCTGGTCTGAGTTGCATTCGAGGCCTGCAATTCATGATGGCTATCGTATGTTGCATTGACCAGAGATCATATTATAAAACTTCCATGCCACATTGAAACACGCACCACTTTCGAGTACTTTGGTATCCCCCACCAAATGGGCATTCGTTCTCGGGGTGGCAGGCGTCACTATTCGTTATGCCTGGATCAGATTTCATTGACCCCAACTGTCATGAAGAATCATTTTTACTTTGACTGGATTTCAGTACAAGTTGTAGAACTGCAGAATCAATTTCGTTGTATTTGGGCAACCATTTCACTACAAACGCTCTATTGGGAAAATAGAATTTTTTTAAAAAATACATGTCCAAATTCCACATCTACCCAAGTCGGAATACTTGATCACGTATTCAGTACTACACGGAATGTTTAGAAAACGCCAGGGAATAGGAATTTGCTAACGAGAACTCCAGGCCAGGGTACTAGCATACGAACAAAACAAGATAAAAACTCACCAGTGTACTTGTAGTAATTCATGTCGGTGTAATATTGACGATAAGCAACGAGGCACCCTCCGATTTGGTCAAGCTGCTTTGAAGTCTGGTTGTTCAGGTGATACAAACGGGCTCCCCGTCGTGACTTCCAGCAGCTTCACTTTCCCTGCGACAGCGGCTATCAGCCTCTCTCTCCATCGTCAACAATTATCACAGATTCAACATTCTACATTTATCAGCACTGCACTGGGTGAATATGTTTCGAGACGAATTTAGCGGATCAACAACGCTTCGCTGGAGATAAATTCTCCTCTGGAGGACCTTCAGGGTACCTGGAAGGGTATAGAAGACGGGATCGCTCACGACGTTGAGAGAACATAGAAAACAACCTCCTCTTCGATTGAAAATTGGCCAAAAAGTATGTGAAATGTATGTGCGCAGATGCATTTCCACTGGCAAGCTAATCCCTCATTACGTCATCAGCGCTCACTCGGCGAAATTCAAAAGTCGTCTTCCTGCTCGACTCGATCGCTTCTGGAGACTCGTTCTTGTTCGAGGGGTCTTCTCTTTCACCTACCTTCGTCTTGGCATCGAAAACTCGGCGTCGAAAATGAAGCCGGAGTGCCCCTTTAAAAAATGCGAGTTTTTGAGCATTGCTCACCAAGCAGGCAGTAACAAAAGAGAAAATTGAATTCGATTTCTTTGGCCATGACTGATGGTCAAGTGGCAGGTAATGCAAACACCCTGCGAACACTCTGTGTTACTGACCTGCGCTATTTGGCTGGTGACTGCAATCATCTGTTAGCTTGTTGACTGATGTGTCCGAATGGATGAACACAGTCTGTGTGGACATGGCGTGTAGTCCAGCTCCACCAGCACCAGTAGCAGCAGCTGATGACTTATCCATCATTCTAAAACCTGGAGAGTAAGAGGGAAGAGCATGAACATCTCAGTTTTCACAGATACAGTAAAACCTGGTTTAAGCGACCACCCCACGGTGCAAGCAAAAGCGGTCGTTAAAGCCAGGTGGTCTTTAGAACCAGGTCCCACAGTGTCTGTGTGGAACTGTCGGTGCATGGAAAAACGGTCGTTAAGAGCAGGTGGTTGCTAAACCCAGAGGCCGCTTACACCAGAAAGGCGACCACTCGGCTAAGGTGACCACCTGTGACAGTCCCAGAACACCACTGCAACCAGGACAAAGAGATGCTCATTCCAGGCAAATTACCCTGGATACGGAGACCACCTGGTAACCGAGACGACGTTTAGGAGGTCCCTTGAGCGGTCAGCTTAGAAAGGTTTCACTGTTACATTTGAAATCCTACACTAGCCCATGCTGCTGAGGTAAGAATGAAACTGAACCTGACCTGATCAAATACAATGCAATGCACTGTTCAACACTAGCTCTGGCTCGTGACCCGCATGCAGAGATCATTTGGCACGCAAAGGTATGATGCAGGGTGGAGCGCAAGTCACACTGATCATGTTTTCTCCTGACGTTCTAAATCTGTCTACACGTTATCGTGGGGCTGTCAACTTCAATTTTTGAATCATCATGAATAAGCTTCCCTGTACGGGAATGGGGCACACATAATACTAGTAGTCCATCGATTTTCAGACAAATTGTCCTATACTACAAGTACTTGTTTGAGCATCTCAGGTGTGGTGTCCATCAAGTACCTTGCCATCACGCGTGTTCGTGCGTGCGTGCTTGCGTGTGTGTGTGTAAGTGTGCGCATGTGTGTATGTGTGTGTGTGTGTGAGAGAGAGAGAGAGAGAGAGAGAGAGAGAGAGAGAGAGAGAGAGAGAGAGAGAGAGAGAGAGAGAGAGAGAGAGAGAGAGAGAGAGAGAGAGAGAGAGAGAGAGAGAGAGAGAGAGAGAGAGAGAGAGAGAGAGAGAGAGAGAGAGAGAGAGAGAGAGAGAGAGAGAGAGAGAGAGAGAGAGAGAGAATGCCATACTCGTCGTCTTACCGTTGATCTGCCGATCCATCATGTCTTCACTAGCACTCGTCGTGTTACTACCACCACTGCTGGCCTGTGCTGCAAGTTGTACTCTCATCATCTGTGCTTGCTGCTGCTGTGTGGTTGGTTTACGCGCGGCCAATCTCATGTCAGTGTGTTGCTGGTGGTGATTGCCAGGGACAGCACCACCAGCAGCAGCAGTCATAGTAACTGTGGCTGCAGGTGCTGCAAGTCTAGGTGCTGGCTGCCTCTCTTGCTTATAGAGGGTGTAGAGTGCCTGGCGACGACGCTTCTCAGTTTCTATGTCATTCTCCGTAGACTTCAGGTGATTGCGTGCGTCCGCCAGAGCGGATTCAAACGTCTTCACCTGAGCAAACCGAACGAGAACGCCATACCCACCCGAGAGCGAGATGAACACGAGGGAAAGTGGAGAAGAAAAGAAAGAAGGTTAAAAATAGGCATATGGTGACTGAGGGAAATGCCCTTGCTAAGTACGCACACCTACTTAATCATCATTGTAAGAGTGATAGATGTTATGATAATTATTGCGATAATTGCGTATCAGTAACCATTATAATACTGCGCTACAATTGCAAAGAATAATGTCTCTTATTCCTCTCCATCTCTGTCTATTACAAGGGTATGTTCTTCACATGGTGTTTTGAATAACTCAGCACATAAGGTATGTATAGTGTACACACCACACCCACACACACGCGCGCGCGTGCGTGGGCGCACACACACACACGCACACCACACACACACACACACACACACACACACACCACACACACACACACACACACACACACACACACACACACACACGCACACGCACACCTCAGACCTCAGACCTCAGACATGCCCATCGCGGAAGCGATAATAGCGAACAGCTATGTTAGACATAGCAACTTGTGCTGGGATTACACCATTCAACAGATTGCAAAGCTGATGAATTGACCGCCACTATTTTTAGCCACACACGCACACGCGCGCACACACACACACACACACACACACACACACACACACATACACACACACACACACACACATACACACACACGCACGTACACGCACGTACACGCACACCAAGATGAACACTGAAAATATATGAGCTTGACATTTGACTGCATGGATTTACCTTGTGAGATTTTGACAAGAGTTTTCTCTTCTGGTATGCTTGCTGAGCCAACTGTATCAAAACGCAAAACAGAGAGGTTCCAGGCTGTCCAAGTGAGTGCTCAATACCGAGAGGCAGAGCTGGTTCAAACAATAAGAGGACAGAGAAAATGTTTTGACTCCGAGTTTCACGCACTAAGCGATCATCAGAAAACTCGCTTAGTGCGTGAAACTCGGAGTTAAAACACTTTCTCTGTCCTCTTATTGTTTGTATCAAAACGCATATACATATTATAGATTGGAGAGAGGGCAAATAAAACAATACATGTAATCCTTCCAGGGACATCACAGGGCAGTTGGTAGTGGTATGATGGGGTGCGGGGGGGGGGGGGGGGGGGTGTCCCCCGGGGAAAATATTAAGATTTTTGGGCCAACAGTTTTAGAGCTTTGATATTGCTCTTTTTGGACGAATAGGGCGGATCATCCTGGACGAGTAGGGCGGATCATCCTGGACGAATAGGGCGGATCATCCTGGACGAATAGGGCGGATCATCCTGGACGAATAGGGCGGAACATCCCGGACGAATTGGGCGGATCATCCTGGATGAATAGGGCAGATCATCCTGGACGAATAGGGCGGATCATCCTGGACGAATAGGGCGGATCATCCTGGACGAATAGGGCGGATCATCCTGGACGAATAGGGCGGATCATCCCGGACGAATAGTGATACGACCCTGGTAGTACTGGTTGTAACGTGCGAGACGCCCCTGTTTTCAACTACATCGCTTTCTTAGAAACAATCCACTATGGGGAGTGAACAAAGTGTGTTTCGTTCCCAGGCTGACAGTTCCAGCCTTCATAGGCATTTGGATGCTTCATTCTCTCACATGTACGCACACACAAGGCATAAAAGGTCTGGCGCGGGTCTGAGTTCAGAAGGTCAAGGTTGTAAGCACTATTGTGTATTGCATAGGTAACACATCTCGTACTGTCGTGGACATGGAAATCCGATGGGATGACCAGGGACGGCGCCGTTACTGCTCTTAGCGCGTACATGCACTTCAGTTCACATACACACTGTGAAAATGGACCAGCAGTGCTCGCGGCTGCAAGGCCAGCGCCCCGTGGCCGCTTGACTTCCCAACGGATTTCAATGTCCGCTACATAACAGTAGAATTTCCAAACCCAGGGTTGAAATGCACAACATTTCGGGCACTGTGTGCGCGATCCGTGTCTAGTTAGTTCGACGATTGCCTGGCTAGCAGCACATACCTCGGGAGAAGGGTCTTTGTAAGTAGCTGCCGTTCTTTGCCAATATGGTAATGTTTTATTAGCTTTTTTACCAAATACCAAATAAATAGTTCTCTTTCCTATACATAAGTTTTAAGTTTGTTTGATGACATGCACAATTATTGTGTACAAGAGGTTTTATTGCAGGACATACCTCAGTGGACATCAGTCGTTCATCATGATTAGGTACCACAGCTTGTATACTGTCCATCAACTCATTGTGACTGCCCTGCAATAGAGAACAGAGCCGCATAACCAGAACCAGCCATGTACACAGTGCACAGTACACATTGTGCTTGCCATGCTTACATATTATACAAACACGCACGCACGCACATGCACGCACGCACACACACACACACACACACACACACACACACACACCTCAGACCTCAGACCTCAGACCTGCCCATCGTGGAAGCGATGATAGCGAACAGCTATGTTGGACATAGCAACTTGTGCTGGGATTACACCATTCACCAGCTTGCAAGGCTGATGAATTGACCACACACACACACGCACACACACACACACACGCACACACACACACACACACACACACACACACACACACACACACACACACACACGCACACACACACACATGTATTATAATCATTATCGCAGATTACCCGGACGTCATCAGAACTGGCAGAGATGACAACAGGACGCGGCGAGAGCGTTCGATTGCTATGCCTGCAGGAGCAATGTGCAGAAACAATTGAGAAAAATATAAATTGGAATCAGAGAGACCTGGGTTATACATTCCATAACTTAAACGCTACCACACAGATATCCAAAGCTGGTTGTGTTTCTCAACAACGATTGTATAGCCGATGGTAACGCGGATGTGAACATTTTATCTTCCTAACTCAAACACACACAGTTACATAGAGACAATTCCAGTTTTGAAATCAGCATTCCGGTATTCAACTCTGCCACCAAAGCATAACGTATTTGCCGAAGTATGATTACACTCCGGCAAATACGGTAATGCTGATCAACACATAGACAGAGGTGTGTGTGTGTGTGTGTGTGTGTGTGTGTGTGTGTGTGTGTGTGTGTGTGTGTGTGTGTGTGTGTGTGTGTGTGTGTGTGTGTGTGTGTGTGTGTGTGTGTGTGTGAGGGGGGGGGGGATTGAAAAGGAGAAACCGCTGGTGTTCGAGGTATAAGTATGCCATGAACGTCAGTCGTGATGCATATAGAGAGGAGCAAGGGGAGCTCACCGTGGGCTGTAGGACAGCCAGAAACAGAATCATGCACACAAAGGGGAGCAAGGGGAGCAGTTTCGTGTCAAAAGGGGCACAGAAATGATCACGGCTGATGTTCGTGACAGACTAAGTCAGTACGAGGCTCATAGTGCGACACCAGGGATGAATATATCCGGTATCGCATCGCAGTTTGCTACGCCAAATCGATCTACTGCTACTCAAAAATCACAGTGACACGCAGAAAACTGCCATACATACATGTACAGGCTATCCATGCCTTTTTGTAGCTGACGCCACAAATGAGATTTTACATAGCAAAAACTGCTACTCAGTATGCCAAAACATGACAGTAAATACATGCCTGGACACATACCGACAGCAAACAAGGCAACAATAGAACTTACTGTTTGAGTGCTGCAACAGTTTTTTGTAGGTTCTGACAGTCTTCAAGGTACTCGTCCAAAACCGATACAGGCCATGTGCTGATAAACCTAGCGATGCCGCCGCAATGCATAGCGTAAGAAAGAGATGGGAACACGTAAACAAAACATGTTACACGCAAACACCAGCACGCTAACAGCCATACACCATACATCATCCTAGGCTAAGAGCACATCTGCTGAGGAGTCCAGACACTAGTACTTCCAATACATGTGGTGCATACCGCATGCTTGAACGAGTGCTGGGTGTCAAGCTGAGTGTCAAGTGTAGTCTGCCACCGAAAACAAACACAATGAGGAAGCTGAGTAAAGTAACAGACAGTAAAACCTGGTTTAAGCGACCACCCCACGGTGCAAGCAAAAGCGGTCGTTAAAGCCAGTTGGTCTTTAGAACCAGGTCCCACAGTGTCTGTGTAGAACTGTCGGTGCATGGAAAAACGGTCGGTAAGAGCAGGTGGTCGCTAAACCCAGAGGTCGCTTACACCAGGTTTTACTGCACATCACAACTGGTAGTAAACACAATTATGGTAGCTGATTAAAAATGGCATACCGGTACATCACAACTTACACAATTCGGGAGCTGAAAACAGTCACAAACATCCTAACTGGCAGTCGACACAAAAGAAAAGGAACTGGATAACAGTGGCATACATGTACATCACAACTTGCAGTGCCCACGATACAGGAAATCAGGAATTGAATGACTTACTTCTCTTCAGAAACAATAACTTCCAGTTCAGACTGCATTATCGGCTTCAAATCATCAACGACAGTACTGACATCATCTGCAAAACATAACAACAGCCACAGCAACAGCAGCCATATCAATAATACAATTCTCTTCAGCAACAACAGCCATATCAATAATACGAGTCTCTTCATCAACAGAAGAATAACAGCAGAATCATCATTGTACCTTTTAGAGTTGTCATCTTTTGTGTAGCATTTGCCAAAGCCACACCGATGGCGTCCACTTCCACAGCATCAACCTGGCAGTGGTGCTCGGTGACATCAACTCTCATACTCTCTACCATGGCACAGAGCTCACTGCAAACATGCAAATGACACGTGTGGGCACGCACATGCACATACACACACAAACACACACACACACACACACACACACACACACACACACATGTACCAGTGGACACGCATGCACGCACACACACTCACACACACACACACACACACACACACACACACCATGCATCCACCCGTGCACGTGCACACACACACACACACACACACACACACACATGTACCAGTGGACGCGCATGCACGCACACACATACACACACACTCACACACACCATGCATCCACCCGTGCACGTGCACACACACACACACACAACCCAAATGTACACACACAACCCAGATACACACACACACACACACACACACACACACACACACCCGCGCAAACAAACATAATTATAATAACAGTCATGTAGACACATGGACACACACGGACACACACGGACACACACGGACACGCACGGACACGCATGGACACACAAGCAGGAGCATGACTGTATCAGTGCCCATCTGCACATACTTTGCTGAGCAGTTTGCAAACACGACCAGCACGATCATGCTGGGACACACTTCTTGAGATACAGGAAAACCTGTGAATAACGACCTCCCCTTGAGGCCAGAAAAAAGCGATCTTTAGTCGAAGGTGGTCCTTAGTGAGAGGTTTGCACCGCACAGCTAGATGAATGTGAGACCGTCGGTGCCTGGCGAAGTGGTCTGCAGTACCAGGCTGGTTGCTAGTCACGGTGGTCTTTAGTTACAGGTTTTACTGTAGTACCAGGCTGGTCGCTAGTCACGGTGGTCTTTAGTTACAGGTTTTACTGTAGTACCAGGCTGGTCGCTAGTCATGGTGGTCTTTAGTTACAGGTTTTACTGTAGTACCAGGCTGGTCGCTAGTCACGGTGGTCTTTAGTTACAGGTTTTACTGTAGTACCAGGCTGGTCGCTAGTCATGGTGGTCTTTAGTTACAGGTTTTACTGTAGTACCAGGCTGGTCGCTAGTCACGGTGGTCTTTAGTTACAGGTTTTACTGTAGTACCAGGCTGGTCGCTAGTCATGGTGGTCTTTAGTTACAGGTTTTACTGTAGTACCAGGCTGGTCGCTAGTCATGGTGGTCTTTAGTTACAGGTTTTACTGTAGTAGCAGGCTGGTCGCTAGTCATGGTGGTCTTTAGTTACAGGTTTTACTGTAGTAGCAGGCTGGTCGCTAGTCATGGTGGTCTTTAGTTACAGGTTTTACTGTAGTAGCAGGCTGGTCGCTAGTCACGGTGGTCTTTAGTTACAGGTTTTACTGTAGTACCAGGCTGGTCGCTAGTCACGGTGGTCTTTAGTTACAGGTTTTACTGTAGTACCAGGCTGGTTGCTAGTCACGGTGGTCTTTAGTTACAGGTTTTACTGTAGTACCAGGCTGGTTGCTAGTCACGGTGGTCTTTAGTTACAGGTTTTACTGTAATGTGTGCTAGTACATGTACACATGTGATAGAGTGCATGTCCACTTTACTACTGTACACGTAGTACATGATCCGCAGGCGTGTAGCCCACATGGGGCACGGGGGCACATGCACCCACTGGAAATTTCGACCTAGGTTCAGCATGCACCTATTGACCATGAATGACATGCACCAGCCGTCCTACACATACTCATGCATGTATGCGGCTGTACATCCCCCTGAAAGGAGGACCAGCTACGCCCCTGTACAGTAGCACCATACTTACCGTATATCCTGTGTGACCGCGTCACACTGAGACTGGTAATCAGAAGTCCTGCTAGTTAGATCATGACGGCGCTGTACTTGCTCGGATCGCTTCTTCACATTCTCGGGAAGATCGCACTCTGGTACACCGTGCACACAAAGCAATGACAGCACAAATTGCCCATTAGCAAACTTCCTATACTTTATAAATTCTCAGAATGCGCAGAACATTAATACTACGTCATACACTCATTCTCACCAAAGAAATTCGCTTATCCATGTTCTTACCACTGGTGCCTCATCCAGACCATTGGGGCCAATGGGTACTGCCACGCCTCAGAGGAGTGCGCTCAGAGGCGTGCGCTAAGAGGTGTGCACTCAGAGGTGTGTGCTCAGAGGTGTGCGCTCAGGGGCGTGCGCTCAGAGGCGTGCGCTCAAAGGCGTGCGCTCAGAGGCGTGCGCTCAGGGGTGTGTCCGCTCAAGGGTGTCCGCTCAGGGGTGTGCGCTCACGGGTGTGCGCTCACGGGTGTGCGCTCACGGGTGTGCGCTCACGGGTGTGCGCTCACGGGTGTGCGCTCACGGGTGTGCGCTCACGGGTGTGCGCTCACGGGTGTGTGCTCAGAGGTGTGCGCTCACGGGTGTGCGCTCAGAGGTGTGCGCTCACGGGTGTGCGCTCACGGGTGTGCGCTCAGGGGTGTGCGCTCAGAGGTGTGCGCTCAGGGGTGTGCGCTCAGGGGTGTGCGCTCAGGGTTGTGCGCTCAGAGGTGTGCGCTCAGGGGTGTGCGCTCAGGGGTATGCGTTCACGGGTGTGTGCTCACTGGTATGCGCTCAGAGGTGTGCGCTCACGGGTGTGTGCTCAGAGTTGTTTGCTCACGGGTGTGTGCTCAGAGGTGTGCGCTCAGAGGTGTGCGCTCAGGGGTGTGCGCTCAGAGGTGTGCGCTCACGGGTGTGCGCTCAGAGGTGTGCGCTCAGGGGTGTGCGCTCAGGGGTGTGCGCTCAGAGGTGTGCGCTCAGAGGTGTGCGCTCAGGGGTGTGCGCTCAGGGGTGTGCGCTCAGGGGTGTGCGCTCAGGGGTGTGCGCTCACGGGTGTGCGCTCAGGGGTGTGCGCTCAGGGGTGTGCGCCCAGGGGTGTGCGCCCAGGGGTGTGCGCTCAGGGGTGTGCGCTCACTGGTGTGCGCTCAGGGGTGTGCGCTCAGGGGTGTGCGCTCAGGGGTGTGCGCTCAGGGGTGTGCGCCCAGGGGTGTGCGCCCAGGGGTGTGCGCTCAGGGGTGTGCGCTCAGGGGTGTGCGCTCAGGGGTGTGCGCCCAGGGGTGTGCGCTCACGGGTGTGCGCTCACGGGCGTGCGCTAACTGGTGTGCGCTCACTGGTGTGCGCTCACTGGTGTGCGCTCAGGGGTGCGCGCTCAGGGGTGCGCGCTCAGGGGTGCGCGCTCAGGGGTGCGCGCTCAGGGGTGCGCGCTCAGGGGTGCGCGCTCAGGGGTGTACGCTCAGGGGTGTGCGCTCAGGGACGTGCGCTCAGGGGTGTCCGCTCAGAGGTGTGCGCTCAGAGGTGTGCGCTCAGAGGCATGTGCTCAGAGGTGTTTCTTGCTCTCCCATCATATACTCACCAGCTATTTGTCTTGTAGCCAGGGCGGTGTTAATGGCTAATGTCAGTTTGTTTCTGACTGCCTCGATCCACATCGCTTGCTCTTTCTGTAGTTTGAGCTGTAGCTTGGTGACAGTGTCCAGATCTCTCCGCAACACACTGATGGACGACTGTGCTTCTAACAACTTGGGTGTGAGATGCAGAGCTGGTACCACTATCAAAATGTAGAAATTCAACATTAGCATGCACACACATGCACACACGCATGCACACACACACACACAC